GGACCTAAATCTGAGATATATAGCTCTAGATATGACCCAATTACCGAACAGTGTTCCGGTTTGGACTGAACCAACATCTTTTTTTAAAATTTATTTTGGACTGAACCAACATCTCTTTTTTAAATTTGTCCATCTTTTTGTCCTTTTAATTTTAGTTCTTAAACTCATCAATCAATCCTTTTATTTATGTGATAGGCTTGCATTTAAAATAAATATTTACCACAAATTAAAGGTATCTTATATTATTAAATATGTTATTATAAAACATGTTTTAGTTCAAGAGGTATTGATATTTCAAATACAAAATGATGATATAAAATCTTGATAAAAATATACTTTTAAATATTAATCACTCTGACAATCAAAAAGTTTGCTGTAGAAACTGCATACTTGTTGCATATATATGCTGTCACTGCAATGAAATCATTAGATGTTCTAGCCATTTTGGATACTGGCAAAAATTAGAGAACAACCTGATAGTCATCAAAACAAAAAATATACGAGAGTTTTTAATTAAAAAAAATACATTGTTTTCCCTTTTAATTTAAGTCATTAGAACTCTTATGGATATTTTTTTAATTATCATTAGTTTTTAGCAATAACATTTTTCCTCTCGAATTTTAGCAATTACCTTTCTTATAAATATCTATTTTAATTTTTATATAATGAAATAAAAATAAATTTTGGAAAGAGCACCACAGCAGCACACAGCACCCTGCTAGTTAACATAAAGCAAATTGAATTAATGATAGTCAATGGTTAGTAAAGAAGGGAAGGGAATTTTTAAATCAAGAAAACAAAAATACTGAGACTACAGCAAATGTCTAAGCGCGCAGAGAAAGCCAAAGGAGAGTGTTTTATTTACAACAAGAATTCATTTCCAGAATTATTACATCAGCAATTATATTGCTCCTTGCCCTCATTTAAAATTTCCCGACAAGAACTCCACTGATGGGAACAGCCTCCTCGGAAGGACAAAAATGCCTGTGTCTAGATGAAACCATAATCTACACTAAATACATGCAAGCGGTAATAACTCGGATACATTGAATGCCACTAACCCCATCATTTTATTCTTATACAGTGAGCAGAAAGCATCTGCTTTATAACAAATGTGAGAACTGAATCGTAAAAGAATGATCGGGGTAGTTCCGATGAAGAAAATGAAAGGGTCACCAGAGAAGATTACAGCCCTGGAATGGATTCAAGATTATATTTCTGAGAAGGTGAGGCTTCATCCTCTCTGCTTTCCTGTGATTTTGGCTTCTTGATGGCATCAAGAGTCTGTAAATATGTGTAGGAAGGAACCCGATTAGATGGAAGGACTGGATTGCTTATTCTACTAGCAAGGAGGCGTCGGATCAGGACTCTCAAGAATGGAGCCATAGTGTCTGGTTCATGTTCCAAGTAGTACATAACTCCTCCCATACATGCACAAAATAAGGCCACCTGCAAAATCACACAAGCAGCATCTCACTCAGCCATACAAGTTTGAATTGTGTTTCAGGCATTCATGCAAAATATTTGTGGTATCTACTGTTCACTGGGGACATTATCCATGTCAGGTAAGTGTTTTAGTGTCTTTTCGTGTGCGCGCGCGTGCGCGCACATTTGAGGCAACACTTGGGCAAATCAATTTGTTAATCTGATGCACAAATCATGGGTGCAAACCCACACACGCAGAGACTAAACCCCAGCCATTAACTGATTCCTGCTTGTCTCCCAGATGAAAAATAAGTTCTTTAATTACAGTTGCAAATGGCAACATCGTCACTCAGTTGATTTTTTTTTTTACGTTTTGATGGATGATCCTATTGATGCCAATAGCAGAATACAAAAAGAGAGGTGCTTTTCAAAAGAGGTTCCACTCAAGTGATATGGTGCAGCATATTCATGCCACAACCTTTTTTCCATTAATGGATAGGATTGTAAACAGAAAATCAACTGGGAGAAGAAAAGCCAGCATCATTGAGAATAAAGCAAGCAAAATAGATAACTGCATCTGGAATTGTGTTGAGCCAGTGCAAGAAGGCTATATTATACAAAAGTAATACCTCAGCATTCCTCATATTTGGAAGCAGGTGGCGGTTCACTAAAATATACCACAGTGAATCTCCAGCCCGTGGAAGAACATACAAGGCAAGTTCAGCACGTCTAGATTTTTTCTCCAGTAGTACAGAAAGGGCAGATATTCCACCTGCAATCCAATATACAAGCTTGTGGTCCCTTGTTGCTACTTTTCGATGAAGGCATATCACCCACTTGCATCATCCACAGACTACTAAGAACATATTCACCATTTTAAAATAAGAAAACAAAAACAAGTCAAAAAGCTACCTGAAAAATTCCAACAAATGCAGACAAGAATGCCGTTGAGTGGACAGCATCTCTAAGAGCAAACCAACATGTATGTGCAGGCGCATCCATGAACTTGAAGGGAAGGATATATTGGACAAAAAAAACATTAGTTCCAGAAATGAAAACATTGATCATCATCCTTCACATGACATAAATACAATCCCTTCCAAATGAATAAAACGTGGTCTAGACAACTTTATGTGAAAAAGCATCTGAAACAATCTAAAGAGGTGAAATTATTCACAACCACAAATACAGTAATTTGAAAATTAGATATAGCCTGGCAGCTGTTTATATAATTAAAATTTTCATTTTTTAAGCATAAATTTTTGTTTCCCATTTCCCTCCCAGGACCCTGCTTAGGCAGAACCATGACTAGTTGATTGCTTTGATGTTTCTTTTCTGGTCCAGAATGCACTGGCTACCTTAATGTCTGAACATGGCATAAACATGCATTAATATCACAAATCTCTGATTTAATTTTCTACGAAGGGGAAGCATAAAAAAGAAAACCGAAAATATACATAGACAATTTTAGTCAAAGATTACCTTCTGCAGGTGGAGAACAACATAAGGTACAAAAGTAAATGAGAAGTAAAGTGGAAATGTTTTCCTGAACGTAGCTGATGCTGCATTAGCATTCTGAGCTAAACATGAATGTGTGTCTGGATGAATAACAGAACACGGAATAATTGAAGGAAATTCTTCCAACTTCACAGAGTCAGGTTTTCCTCTGCGAGATAAAAAAGCTGATAATGAAGCAAGATCCACTGGGCCACATCTACAGCACTCTCTTATAGACTTGTATACAGGAGCTGCAACTGGTCCAGTCTTCTGAATGAAGTCCTGATATGCTTTTGGCAAGCTCTCAGGATGCATTATAAAGGCATACATAACCTGAGAAGTGATAATAAAAAAGACATGACAGTGACCAAAGGCATATAAGACCTGAAGAAGTTTACATAACCTGAGAAGTGATAATAAAAAAGGCATGACAGTGACCGAAGGCATATAAGACCTGAAGAACAGCAATTTATAAAATGATGATGGAAAAGTTATGAGAATATTATTTGACATGCATACGCAGATGAATGGAGAAGTGATGGGATTAAAAAATAACTTGCTCAAAACATGAGAAACAAAGAAATTATAATTTTTCCAGCAGGGATGAAGATTCCACAACCATTCCTATTAACCAGTATATAAATCTTTGGAAGAACCTAATAAGTAGTGGCTGATGTCATTCCCAGCTTGCATATTTTCCAAGGATTTAAATATGGCTAATTATCAAAAAAGAGTTATTCTCATACAAGATTCATATAGATTTCCCTCTTATAATCATTCTTGAACTTAGATCATAAACTATAAACCCATGGACTGACTTAATTTGAGAAAGTCCGTGTCTATCCAAGGCCAGCGACATCGCTACACCTTATCTTATAACAGCAACTTAGTATTGCACATGACTTTTCTAATAAACCATCTAATTCCTCCCCTTGCCTCTGCCAAATCTTCAACCAAAACTACAATATTCTTCATTGGTATAGCAAGTCTTTGTAGAAGCCAAAACATCAAATCAGTTATCCTACTTGCATCCAGTAACTGTTGTAATTCAATTGAATACATTTTAAACCCTCTGCTTTCCCATTTTATTACTCAATCATCCATCTTTAATTAGCATTCCAATCAGGCTAACTTTACTTTAATGTTAGCCAGAGTTCCATCCTCCAAACAAACATAGCTGGCCATGTAGCCGCATAACTAGACTTCAGTATCGACTACATAATTCTAATTGAAAGAGTCAGATGGAGCCATTTCATCCACCACTTCTAGTTCCACTCACGCAATTAATTCTCTAACCAATACAAAAATGAGTCCACGTTTGCGCTCTTGGTTGCATATCACACCAGCTTATTCACTTTCTGCCTGTTCCACTATTATTGCATTTTGATTAGCAGGTCTGAATCATTAAGGAAACGTTCTTACAAATACATGGTCCCATGTATCAGGTAGAACTTTGATTTACCTGGGCACAAGAGATTGAAAAGAGCAAAGAATCTCCGTGTCTCCAACGGCTTCCCCAAAAGTGAAACTTGTTTTTTGATTTCGCAGAATTATAAGCACACTGATGATAAAACCTAGTGTTAAAGACTGGAAAAACAAAGCTTAAAATCTTACCACTATAATATCAAATTGATTATACTCAAATACCTGAGCTACCCTGGCCAAAAGATAAAGAGCAAGAGTACGCCTCCTGTTTGAGTCATCTAATGCTAAAACAGACAACCCTGCAACCGAACCTGCTAAAATTCTGCTCAATAATCCCCTTAAACAATGTCATAACCAAGGAATAGATTGTATCAAAGCAGCTATAAATCATCATAAAATAAAAGAAATAATTTGTGTATTCAGTGGCAACTTACGCATTGAATGGCGTCTCTTTCCTTCTAAACTTCCTCAAAAAACATCTCAGTGCATGATATGATCCAGTAAATCCACCAAAAAGTAACCCAATGCGACATGACTCCTCTCTCACTATTAAATCCTTCTCCGAAACAAGTCGCTGTGAAACAAAATCCAAATTCTCACACTTTATTGATAAAAAAATCCTCCATATCCATTTCCACACCAAGTTAAGCAAATTCATCTCAAGATTTAACAATTTTAATGCAAAAAAAAAAATCCACTGAATTCAATCAAATTGTATAGTGGAAGAAACCAAACATTCAGATTACTGTCATTTCCAGGGGCCACATTAAATCCAAAATTTGAATTATTTTGATGAAAACTCTCTCTTAACTTAAATTCAATCAATAACACAGTACAAAAAAATTGACCGTAGCTTCCACTATAAAATTACGAGACTGCCATGAGATGTGTAAACAGTCTACCTTGAGGTCGAGAAGAGAAGAGTAAGACTTTCCTTTAGCGAGCTTAAAAGCACGAAGAAAAATGCCGATACCGACACGAACACCGTAAGTGAGAAGGAAGGTTTGACAGAGATTACCAATGGCATAAGCGGCACAGGATTCATCAGGCCCGTGATCGCAAGGAGGATAAGGACCACGCACGGCGTTTCTACTTTGGAGTTCTTCTATTGCCTCACGGAGGCGTTCCTCGGCCTCGAGAAGGCGGCGCTCGTCGTCGGAATTGTCGGGGTGGAGGGGTGGTGGTGGAGAGAAGAGTGGTTTGGCGAGAGCCGGCATTTCCTTTGTGTTTCGAGGGGGGGGGGGGAGGAGCGGGAGCGACGAAGTGATGGTAGGAAATGAAATTGTTGTCCTTTTAAATGTTTTTTATTCAGTAATATATTAAAATAATATTTTTATATCAAAATATTAAAATTATCTTAAAAAAAATAAAAATAAAAATAAAAATTTCATGAAATTCGGTTGCCTTGGTCGAGAGAGAAAAAATACAGGAAAGCTCGGTGGTGGAAAATAGAAAGTTAATCGGGGAGGTGGCTGTGTTTAGGATCGGAGGAAAGTGATTGACGGCACTGGATATTTTGGTACCTGGCATCCAATCATAGTTTTTCTCGGATTGTTTTATGTTTCAATACAAATTTATTTTATTTTTTCGACGAGTTTGAGAGCATTCTTCGGTGTCTGAATAAAAAATCATAGCTATTTTTGAAAAAATAAATATTTTTTTCAGTTTAATTTTTTTAATATAAAAAGTTATAATAATTTTTGAAGATTTGAACGAATAAATTTTGTGATGGGTTGATGATATTAAACCAAATAGTAGAAGATTTTGTGAGGTTCGGGGTGCCATGGCTGGCACCTGTAGCTCAAGCCGTAGATATGCCCTGCTTGTTTGGTTATCTGTAAGCTTCAACAGCAAGATTGTGACAGTAGTGAGGTCGGCTAGCTACTGTTATTAGTGCAGTTTATGAAGGAGCTGGAGACACGGTTGGCCATGTACTGCTCTTATTGAGCTTAAGTACCGTTTGGAAACGAGTTTGAAATCGTGTTTTTTTTTAAACTTTATTTTCTTGAATATCACATCTGATGCACAAGGATCAAATTATCAGGATGCAGTTTCGGTCTTAAATGGCCAGTTGAAGATCACGACATATTTCAACTGGCCCAGATAATTAAGCTTGCATCCTCAGTTTCATGATAGAGTTTTCCAACACAAGTGGCAGCACATCTCCATGACATTGTTCTTGAAGACACATGGCCATACTGCCGTAGAAAACTTAAAATCCATAGAAAACTTGAAAAATCTGCGCAGACCATCTTAGTTTTGAATCTTTATCTATTTCTAAATGGAAACTCGTTCTCTGACCATGTAATACCTTAACCATGATATATCTCATGAACTTTTCTTTGGGATCTGCAGGTCTATTTAATACGATTAGAACACCAGCTTAAGTGAATGATTCCTTTTTTTTTAGCTCGTTTTAGGACAAGCATGCTTTCTAGTTTTGAGGTTGCTGAGTGACCAGAAACCCTGTCAAAAAGTTATTAATTTTGAGAGCATGTTATTCCAATTTCATTCGTATATCTGTATTTGATACCGCAATCAGTTTTGTGCTACATAGCCTCAGGCTAGTGCTCCCATTCTTAACATTCGTGGGTTGCCTCATCTCTTTCGCAGCTTCTTCAATTCTGCAAGAAAAATTCCTTTGGCTGATGGCATTGATGATGTTGCTGCTACCTATGATTGAGTGATGTAGAACTAACAGGCAGATGCTCGACGGTTGTGGCTTGTTATCATGGTGTAATTATTGTGGCTCACGCCTGATTTACTTGGCTACATTTTTCTATAATCTTAGCAGCTATGTATCCATTAGGAGATAGCTCTGTATTCACATATACGATGGAGAGGAGCTAGATTTGGTATGGAGATATATCAGCTTTAGTGGTTACTGAGTGGCTTCGTTTATTTGATGTACAGAACATGCTGCCACAGTTTGATTGCATTATACTCGTCGGTTTATAGGAATTGAGACGCCTGGTGTTCTCGTAACTAGAAAAAAGATAAAGATAAAAAAGGATAAAGTCGGTGGCAATGCACTATATAAAAGAAGCACCTAATAAACCCTATCAAATTATTTGACAGCCCTGAATCAAAAACGCCTACCATTAATCTTCTGTGTTTTGAGAGCAATCTGTTTATATTCACGATGGCAAGGAGAAAGTCAAGATCAAACAACCGTCCTGTGAAGAAGCCAAAGCTAAAGCTTGATACAGTCTTTCCTTGCCCATTCTGCCAGCATGAAACCAGCGTTGGGTGCTCCTTCAACAAGGATCTGAACATTGGTGAAATCTCATGTTCCATATGTCATGCTAGCTACGAGACCAAACTCACTCCATTGACCGAGCCTATAGACATATACAGTGAGTGGATAGATGAATGCGAGCGGGTTAACCAAAAATCGTAGCCATATTTTTTTTGTTTTTCTGAGGAAGTTAGCGTTAGTGTTTTATGCAAGGAAGTTGAACAAGTAATCAAAGGTTTGTAATGTTTCTTTTCTATGTTTTCAAGCTAGTGTTCTTAGCGTAGTAGAATCTGAAATTGGAAATCACCCAAAAAAGAGCAAGCTTTATTATATCTTCAAGTCACCTCGAGATTCATCCAGTCTTTAATTTTTATTAAAATAGCATTGTTTCATATATTTGTATTTTTCCTTGCACTAAAAATCTTATTGAGTTAAACTTTATTGAGCTTGACTAAGTGCCGTTTTGGAACGCGTTTGAAATCGTCTTTTTCAAAAACTTTATTTTCTTGTATATCACAACTGATGCGCAAGGATCAAATTATCAGGATGCAGTTTCGGTCTTAGATGGCCAGTTGAAGATCACAGCATATTTCAAGTGTCGAAATCAATAGCTGTAATAATGATAGCATCTTATTTTGGTAGATGGGAAGAATTTCAAGTCCTGAACAACTCCCAATGAATACATTTTTGTAATAATGGATTGGTGACTTCAGCTGTAAGACGATAAACGAGACAAAAAAAAAAAAGCTGTAGCTTGAGGAGACGACTTATGCTTCCCATCCCCTTAACAGAGTGGCCCTTGCAACTCTGCTTACACCGAGAGTGAACGCACCCATCCGAAGATTGCAATCATGTGTCTGGCACATGCTCTTGATGTTATGGAAGGCTCGAGTCATGTAGTTCTGAAGAGTCTTGTTCACTTGCTGCTCATCCCACATAAAACCTTGAATATTCTGCAAAATTAGACAAATCAAAGCATGTTAAAACGCCGCCCCTCAAACTTCCTGAATCTGTTTCAACATCTCATGCAATGTGTGTCTTTTTTATTAAAGTTCAAGACGGATCTCATGATAGTCTAAATCTCCCTGCAGATAAATTCACTCATAGCAAGCACAATCCAAAACGCATTCCTAAATTACCTAGAAAGTGCAAAAACTAGTGCGTTCTTCACTAACTAGCTGAATAAGATGAAACATTAGTATTTCACTGTATTGCACAAGCACAAAAGTCAGATGTTTGTGAATCAGATTCAAGGTTTCCATGGATTTGCAAGTCACTAGAGTAAAATTTTAGGAAGATCTTCGCTTCACTTCCCCACTTCTAATCTCATTCGAGTTTAGATGCTGAGCAACTAGGTTAGAGGTATTCAGGACGTATGCAGACTCATTCAACATAAAGTGTTCTTCATAACCTTTCCAAAACCATGTAAAAATTCTCAGCAGAACAATGTTTTTCCTTCATTTTAATCCATTACCTGAACCCATTCAAAGTAGCTGACAGTGACACCTCCAGAATTTGCATATATGTCAGGAAGTACCACGACTCCTTTCTTTGCTAAAATCTGCAATATTTATTTCATTAATCAGAATAATATTTTCTTACATTATTTTTTTCCTTCTTTTTTCATGGATGACAAGAGGAGTAGAAGTTCAATGCTACCTCGTCAGCTTCTGGATCGGTAGGATGGTTTGCTGCCTCTATAATGAACTTGGCCTTCACATCTGCAGCATTTTCCCTTCAAAAGCCAAACCATATTCAGGAAAAGTTAGTTTTGGTTTATCAATTTGGTTAAAAGAAAAAAAAATTCTTAAAAATCTTCTAACAGGCTGAAGGAAGAAGCTCAATCATGTCTAACCAGCAGTGTTTTTCCAACTCAACATCCAATTTACATCATGTATGATGCAGACATGGAAGTAGCTCAATAATTCAGATAAAATTATATAGAAGCCTTCAGTGAAGAAGGAAGAAAACAGAACATGTACTAGAAGCTGAAAAGCAGAGAGCAACTTTCGGAAAGATGCTGAACCTGTTTAGTACTCCACCCAAAGCACATGGGATAAGGACATCACATTTATGAATGAGCAGTTCGTTGGCATCCATGGATTCTGCGCCCTGGAAATCTTTCAAACTACCAGTGGTTTCTTTATGCCTGAGCAATTCCGGAATATCAATTCCATTTGGATTCTTAACTGCACCAGTGATGTCGCTCACAGCGATAACTTTCCCACCTCTCTCATATATGAGCTTCGCTGCCCAGGACCCCACGTTTCCAAAACCCTACATGATTCATTGATAAGTTTTTTTTTCCCCTCAACATGACGCTATCTAGAAAAGCAGGTATTTTGCCTGCAATTAAAATCGAGATATTTCCAAGTTTACCTGTATTGCAAATGTCAAATCTTTGATGGACTTCCCATGTTCAGCAAGTAAAGCTTCTGTAGCGAAAACAACTCCACGCCCAGTTGCAGCCTCCCTACCCAGTGATCCACCAAGATCCTAGCATCCATGGATATGAGAGAAAGAGAGAGAGAGAGGTCATTCTGTTCAGCTTTTACGTTTTATTGAAAAGGAAAACAAACTTGGGCATGACAGTCTTTAGCACTTACTATGGGCTTCCCTGTCACAACAGCAGGTGAGTGACCATGGAATTTTGAGTATTCGTCCAATATCCATGCCATGGTCTGTTCATTCATTTTATCCCCACGATTACTGCTTCTTGTTAGAAATAAAATTGGATAAATTGAATACATCAAAAGATCTATGGAAAGTCCATAGGTGACAATGATATACCTGGGCATTAGTGCCCATGTCTGGTGCTGGAACATCTGTGTGGACACCAATGAGATCGTGGATCTTCTGGGTGAAGACACGGGTTAGACGTTCTAACTCACTTTTACTCAAATCCCCTGGGTTGCATCCAATCCCTCCTTTAGCTCCACCATATGGTATGTCTGCTACAGCACTCTTCCATGTCATTAATTGAGCCAGGGCATTTACTTCATCAGGGTCAACCTTCCAAGAACAAATAAGAAGCCATCAGCATCAATCTCAAAGACAAGTCCTTGCAAAAAACAATCCAATACTGTTACAGGGACAACAGAACAAAGATATCTTTGTGACATTGCTCTGGAGAATTTGGCACATAATTAACATAAAAACAGGAAAGTTGAATGAAGATTATGTATGTAGAACATGAACTATTTCCATTTTATTCATTTTTTTCTATACTAATTTTACTCATTGGAGAAATCTCATTTAGAACATTTATAAGTAGTCAGAAGGCCTTCCTCCAAAAGGATGCCAAATAATTTACGAGACAGAAAACTGTTCTCTCCAGAAGAAACTCTCACGTCCTAGCCACTTTCTGTAATGACGGGAAACCAAAGCAAATTGATATGGCTCGATACAAAGACAGAACAGCCCAAAACAAATCTAAAATGAACAACATTTGCACAGAACAAACAACAGCATCAACCCAATGTCTGGAACAACTTAACCATGCAACTGCATTGATACAAATATCTAGTAGGCTGATTGATAAACTTCTTTGTTTCCAAACTTCCAGGGGAAAGCAGGATTCAGATCCAGCAATCAGTCAAAATTTGGCATGAATCAGTAGGGCCTTTTTTTTACTTTTCAAGCTACAATCACCTATGATTCACCAATACCAGGGCAAAATCCCCAAAGAAAAATCCAAGCTTGCCCTTAACTAATATAAATCAGACAGAACAACCATTTGTCCTAATAAGACATCAAATCATCGAGAAAAACAAGAAACGCAGATTAGCACAGAAGAAAAAGAAAAGGAATGATCAGACACACACCTCAGGATGATATCTAATCCCTCCTTTCATGGGCCCACGAGCATTATCATGTTGCACTCTAAACCCAACATAAGACACTAGAGTCCCATCATCCTTGGGAATTGTGCACTCCACCTGATCATAAACAAACAGAACAAAATATATATATAAATAAAAACAGTATTTTTTTTTCTCTGTTCCTCCCCAAAAAGTTCTCTTTTGTTAGTATTATTATACCTTGATCTCTCTAAAAGGGATCAAAAGACTCTTCTCAACTTTAGAGTCCAGACCAAGAAGGCGGGCAGCATGTCTGAAATTACGGCTTGTAGCAGCAAGAGCATTCATGGTTAATGCCTAAAGAATAATAATAATAAAAAGCCTCAAAGGAAACAAAAAGAACCCAGATAAGGAAAACTCAAGAAAAGCCAGGAAACAAGAAAAAAGACTATTCTTGAATGAAACTCCTTTCAAGAACAGTTACGAGCAGCTGTGACTAGACAGGAAGCAAACAAGATTAGTGTGAGAAGCTTGCAAAAGGGAAGTGTGTGTATATATAGGAGAATTAAAGGGACGGTGCTGACTAGGGACGGAGCTATTTTGGTCCAAAATCCAGATGGATTTGAAATGACCATTAGGAAAAAAAATTTCTCTTTTCTTTTGTTTTCCCTAAGATTTCTTGAAGGAAATCTTTACATTGGTGACGTTAAGTAGGTGAGCGAATCTCGATTGATTAAACTGCCTAATTTTAGGGAAAAGACAAGTGAATTTAAAGCCATTCTGTTGAGGTTCGAAGTTGGTTGTGTCTTATTGATTGTTTTACCTTTTTTTTTATATTTTGAGGGGAGAAAAAATCCTCTTTTTTCCTTTTTAGAATAAGAGTTTACTATATACCCTCATGTAATTGCTTAATAAGTCCTAAAAGATATAAATACTACTAATTCAATTTTTAAATTCAAAGTTGCAATTTAAGTAGTTTGTTGTTATTATTTTATATAAGATATGATATTTTTGTATAATGTGTTTTTTCTATTTGATTAAAGATAAAATATCAATATTCAATCTAGTTTAATGAGATGAAAATTATTTTTTTAATTATTATTTATTTTATTTTTCATAATTTTTTATTTAAAAGCAAAATTTCAAAGTAATTAGTAATACTTGAAAGCTAACATCACAACTCTCAATTATAGCTTTAGAGTAATTTTTAGAAGTTACAATTTGTAGCTTTTGAATTACAACTTATATTTATTTTTATTTTCATTTTATTTTTTTTCTTTAAAATTATACTTTATATCTCAGATGAAAAAACTTTTTAAAATTTAAATGAAAAAAAAATTTATCTCATACAAGCCCAATAACCTTACATGACATGTCACCTATCAAATTTCACTAACTATTTTTCTCTTTCAAAACCAAAATTATATAATTTAACATCAAAATTCTATCTAGTTTAACTATTTTTCTCTTTCAAAACCAAAATTATATTATTTAACCAGAATCAAAACCCTATCTAGTTTAATCAAAATCAAAATCATGTATGAATATCTAACGATATTTTGTTATATCCATGAAGTGTTTTGGTATAAAGGGAGAGTTTAGGCTTTGACTCAATAGATTTTTGACAAATACACCTTTATTTTAAAGAAAAAATATATTTGAGATTTATGAAATTTTAAAGAAATTCATATCTCAATTTATATTTATAATATTTAATCCCTTCCTTAATTTGCATGTAAAGAGAAAATGTTAGTCCATCATGAATCAATTCATGGAAAGGAGATTTTCTTAGGTTGGACCTCACAAAAGTACAAGAGAGTTTCTTGGAATAAACTAATGAAAAATTAGATATAATAATTCGTGTTTGTTTGGAAATACAATAAAATCATTCTTTGTTAAATTTTTAAAGTATTTTTTCAAAGTTTCAAATTAGTATTTTTAGTGTTTTTTTATTATTATTTTAATGTGATGAAGTTATAAATAATAAAAATTTTAAAATTTTTAAAAAGACATTACATTATAATTTCAAACATAACCAAAAGAGCGATGAAGTGAGAATAGATTATATGGGTTTATCTAATAAGTCCATGTCCTATGTTGTTGTGTTATAGCATGAATGGAGTGAAAACTAGTATATATGTATACAAGAATACATCCACACACACAATTTGATGAAGTTGAAGTAACTTCAAAAGATTACAGGCCTTTTCCATTGCTGGTTGATGAGCTTTGGAGAATGAACTGTTGAAAATGGATGCTAAACTTGAACTACAAGAACACCTGGAAAATAAATCCCCATATGAACTCAAGTTACCTTTTAATATTTAAGTTGACACTGATATAGCTTTGAAGATAAATATGTGTTTGTTTTGCACAAAATATGCAGAACACAATGAGAGGTGAAAAGAAAGAATGTGAGCTTCCATTAAAAAATATTATTTTAATGTATTTTTAAATAAAAATATTTTAAAATATAATTTTTATTATACTTTCCAAATATATCATAATACAAACTAAATTATAAAGTTGCATAATGCATACACTACAAGTTACAAGTTTTACCCGTTACACTTAAATCTAAATATAAATATATGAAAAATATAAATATAATTTCACTACAAGTTACAAGTTTTACCCGTTACACTTAAGTCTAAATATAAATATAATTTTATATGTATGGACATGAAAATAAAATGTTAGTTCATGGTATCTAATGGGTAGATATAGACCTAATTTAACATCGGTTCAATATATTAAGATCAAATATAAACTTAATTTTATATATGCATTTGTACACTACATTTATTGTATGTTTGGTGTTGGGGTGCATCATATTTAATTAAAGTATTTTTTATTTAAAGATATATTAAAATAATTTATTTTTAGATTTTTTTATTTTTAACATCAACATATTAAAATCACATAAAAATATTAAAAAATATTAATTTTTTTTCAAATCAAATATGTTTTTAAAATATATTCGAACATAATTTCAAATACAAAATCAAAATCAAAATGGTGCCATAGTGAAATGGAGATAAACCTAATACATAGATATAAAGATGTAATTTTCCCAATTGTGTATTTAGTCTATCAATTTATACGCTCAATTTATTAATATATAAAAAGCCAAAATAACACATTAATTAATGAGGCAAGTGATAATAGCCTGTGAATTTCAAAAACCTCGGATTATTTATTTATATATTAAAAAATTATTTAAATTTTTTATATGAATGGTGGAAAACTCATAAATTCTTGATTTTTCTAAAATAAAATAATTTTCAACCAAAAAGGATATTTTCTAGATTGAACTCTCTCCTGGCAGGTGACGTTAAGCATACTTTACGTTGACGCGGCGAGCCGCCAGTGACAAGAGAGGAGGCGTTTTCTTTTCTCCGCGTATGTGATGACGTGGTAGATATGATTCAAAAAAGTAAGGAGCTTTATTTTAATCTTTTTATAGGGTGTACAAGTTAGACGTTAGGTGGCAGGCATGAGATTTGCCACGTCACTATGACAATCTTATCTCTAAAAATTATTATTTTATTATTTATTGAAAAGGCCTTAACTGAATTTGGACACAACTTCATGGGTAATTACATAATAACCAGCCACCTTAGATTTTTGTTACCAACATTACTCAATTCATCAGAGCCGGCGAGAAGGAACAAAATGAACACAAACCATGTGAGAGATAGAAATATAATAATAAATTTATTTTAAATATTCTTAAAGTGAATTTCTATTTTTATTTTTTTAAAAGACATTTCTGCTCTAAAATATTCGGTTTTGACAGAAGATCTTCTTCAGAATTGAGGGGGAATTTGGATTCTTCTTAAGCTTTAGGGGCCATGGCTACCCATGGCGTAGTGGCCTATGCTTGAATTCATGCCGATCCAATTCATAATTGAGCCTGTTCTGAATAATTAGAGCTCGTTGAGCTTGAGAGGAATGGTATGATTATCAAGACAAATGCTCTTCTTAGGGTTCAAAACCCTAGACTGGTAGCAAGGAGCAAAACTCTTATGAATCTCCTAAATCTGATGCGAATAATATATTCTTAATCCGATAGAAAAATAAATTTAATCTTAAGATCGTTGGCTATATATTAGTCTAATTAAAATCTTTCCTGCCTTCTTAAAACGATTCATTGCATTTGGAAACATGCGTAATGGAGCCAGCCCTCCTCTTGGAAATTTTGCCCTTTTTTAGTGCTGGCAAAACTTGATCTGTGCAAATAAAATATAATATAGTCTTTCCGAGTCACCAGCTAAATCATCTAACACACGCCTACTACGATCCTTTTCACTTGATGAATGTTATTACAAGCTAAATTTCTTTCGATGATTTTCCTCCCTGATTGACAGTAGCGACTGAGATGCTTCAGACATAGTTGTCAGATTTCGGTACAGGGACTAACTCTGAGGCTCACTGTGGGGTGGAACCAGAAACAAAAATGAAGCTATTTTTCTTTTTATCCTAACCCATCTAAGAATCCTGAAGCTGAGTAGTTCAATTAGGCTTCACCACCTTCATAAAATCAACTAGTATTTCAGCAGGTCCTCAAACGATAAAATGATGATTGCTCTATCATTCTTTTTACCGGTATGGTACAACAATAATTCATGAAATACCTGGTCAATGAACAAGAAGATGCAAAATGGAAAAGAAAACGGCCATCAAATCTGTCTTTGACACCTTTTCAGCACTATATACCCGGTCGACGAGTTTGCATAGCTGCCTTACCGTACATAATGATCCCGCTACTTTTAACATAGATAGTGGTTCAAGTTATACTTCTTTCCTGCAATATCCAGAAGACAAATGCATTAGAATGCTGGTAATCATGGTCTTTTGTGAAAGAAATGAGAGGATGCGTCTAATTAATGTATTTTTTCACTGCTAATTCAGAAAAAAAGGTCAGTCACATACTTCCTCTTTCTTCTATCACTTCCACTGCTCCTGATATCGCTTTTTCCAAAAGCAGAACCAGGAGGCATGCCATAAGGCATGGGAGAGGGGACTGCACCAGGAGCAGACGGCATGCCAAGAGTTGCAGCAGACACAGGTGGTGCAGGTTGAACAGGAGGTTGAACTGGAGCAGGGGGTGCAGTGACATGTTCAGGGAGAGGTCTGGGTAAAATATGCTTCAACCGGTTGTTTCTATAGTTCTTCCAGAAAAAGAATTGCTGTCTATGTGCCAACTCCTAAAAGTCCCAATATCAAAAAGTGAATTGAGAAATATCCATGAACAAAAAACTCAATTTTGTGCAAATGTTATGTTAATATGCATGGATTTCTCCCGCGAACCACAAAGATTGGAGGAACTTATTGTTAAAGCCAACCACTTTTAACTGGTTTTCCCAAAAAGGCCTCTTGAAGCACTTAGAATATCTGAGCTAGGTCAGCACGAAAAACACCAAAAAACTGACTACATGAATATTGACCTTCATTAGAATGCTTAATAAGAACCTCAGACCATGGTCAGGAAAAAACTATCACCATTCTGTAATATAAACCTTGAAAGGAAGACAAGATGAACCAAATGTCAGTCACATCAAATGTTAACAAATCCAGTGGAATAAACCTCCAGCCAGATGGCATCCCATGCATGCTAATATAAAGCAACAAGAAAGAAATTTCGGCCATGAAAAGTCATCTTACATTTAAAGCATGAACAGATAAATATGTATAATTAGGCGAAATAAAAATCTCAGAAAGGTCCTAATCAATAAAAAAGATT